TGCGGCGCGAGCTGCGTTCAACCATGCCGTTGTTCAGGGCACAGCCAGCAAACCACAGCCGCAGCCATTGCCCTGGAACATGTGCATTTGGGTGGTCTTTCAGCTGACGACTTGTGTGCAAACGGCCGCGGCCTCAATCCCTCGATGCAGCTTGCGACATCCATCTCTCTGGTTTGCGCATGCTCGCAGATGTTAGCAGTATCTATCTTCTGTTCTGTTTCAGAGGCGCTCACAGAGGCTCGTCAGGTGAAAAGCTTAGATCATCCAAGTGCAGCCGCGACGAGTGCAACATGCTCTGCTTGTGGAGGGTGTTTTTTTAAGCTAGATGGCATACTGTGGTGGTCAATTTTTGTCACAGAAAGGTTTGCAGAGCATCAGTTCATGTCACCGCTCCCCTGGCGCGCTTGAGTTTGGCGTTGCTGCATGCTAGAAGAAGTTCAGGAACAAGCACATGGAGTCTATCGCATGGCTTCAAGCCTTCTTTTGCGCAACATGCTTTCGACTATGTAGTGGCTTGTCTACTTGATACTCAGCAGCTTGCCTAGCCAGGATATGTCTGTCAAGGGAGGTGACGACAGCTTGATCGAGATGCTGCAGCATCGCTTGAAAAGGGCCGAGAAAGCAGTGTTTTTCGTGAGGAACCACGGCCTGGTGCTCAGTCAGGAACGGAGGAACAAACAACCCTGAGGGTGCCTTTAAAGGGATTCCTAGAGATGGTCAATAAGTAGAGATCGCCGTGGGGCCTGTGTTTTGTATAATCGCATTTTGCTACAATAGCTTGTTATATTGCATTTCTACATTTGTTCTATGTATTTTATGAGTTGTTATAGGTCTAGCCAAACACAGTACTTGCTGTTTGTTATAAGTATAGAAAAACATAGGTCTTACTCCGATCCCTTCACTTGTATTTCTCGCTGTGGGTATTTGTACGCATTTCATCCTTGAGATCGAGCTGCCTGGGCGGGAGGGAGAGGGGGGGGGAGGGGGGGCAAGTAACATACGTTCAAGACCCCCCTTCCCCCTCATTAAATCCTGGACTTCCTGCTTCATGGACATCTTGCGAGTTCAAGTAGTTACAGGGTTATATGTAGAGAGTTTGCTTATAAGCAATGCCTTCTGGACGTCCTGGTTTTTCTGGACATCCTGATAGTTAAAGTAATTAAATGGTGTAAGTAGAGGCTTTGCTTGCAAGCACTGGCCTTGCTTATGAGCAAAGCCTCTGAAACTCGGTGGCATTTATATTATATATAAATCTGAAGAGCTTCAGGATTGTCCCCAGTACTACGTCTTCTCATGAATGGATCCATGGCTCACTCGCACTGGGGCCTTTTTCCTTATGAAGCACAAGAAAGTCTTGGTAGTCTTTTGGCGTTGCTACTTTGCTACATCCTATGCGACTTGTTACATGCATGTTGCATCTTGTGATTTGGGCCTTGGGCCTTCACAGCAACAAGTAACAGGAGAGAAGCATGACTGCAAGCATTACTACCAACCTACAGCCTGACATGACACTGCTGGAGAAGGTATTTCTACAAAATCCTATAGGCTTCATGAATATTGTATGGCTGTGTTTGACAAAAGACATACAAAATAGGAAGGGGGGGGGACATCACAGCCATACATATATATGTATATACGATATTTGTATATGATATATGTATAGATATATACATATATGTATATATGTCTCTGTACAGGTGTAACGTACAGATATAGGCATGTCCAATCCTGAATAATCAGCATGGTACTGAGATGCCAAATGTAAAATCTACGGTTCAGCAAATTCATCGGTATGCGCGGTGTTTTCTCAGGCTTTGTAGAAGCCCATAGAAACCCATATGTATGCAAACACACAGGACCCACAGCAATCCGCTCTCAATAAGTAATGGAAGAATGAACATACCTTGGGATGTTCTAAATGAATTTTGAAGGGTGGTTATAGGGATGGTCATCTCCCCGGCCCTCCTTTACTCAAACGTGACCCTAAAGGCTAAACCTACAGCTTATGAAGACCCTTATTCCTAAACATTCAACCTTAAACTAAAGTCCTCAAACCCTAGCCTTCAGCCCTTAACCCTGAAGCCTAGACCTAAATCCTAACCCCTGAGCCCTAAAACCTAGCATCGAGCTCATAGCCTTTGACCCGTAGCTGTCTCCTACACCTTTAAGGTTCCAGTCTTCAACCCTGAGCCTTACCTCTTGGAATGTGCCCCCAAGGACGTGCTTTTGCGAACCTACGTTGCTTCTGAGTACTTCTCAGTATTCCTCAGTACCCACACCTGCATCTGGAAAGCCCAAGCCATATCCTAAACTCGGCCTTAAAGTCCCCAAATTATTCAAAGAAGAGATAGCGATTCTGAGAAGTTGCAAGCCTTCTGAGTGGTTCTTCAGCGCCATTTAGGAGGGTGGGGCCCCACACAGGGCTCCCAGCTGTGAGCCGGCAAGCAGACAGCCAAAGCTTCAGCAGCTTTCAAGAACCATTCTTGAAACTTAGGTGCCCTGACCTGATACTGATCATGCTGAACCATCACCAGATTTTAAGACAGTGGTTAGAGATCCAAGTGTGCTTGCCTATTTGCCATGGTCCTCATGTTAGGGAGGACTTGTGCTGTGGTGACACTGATCAACCTGGCTCTCTTTTCTCTTACAGCATTTACAGCGCAGTGGTCCTTCTTTGGCACAAAGCCTTGCCTTGGTGCAGAAGTCCGGACCCGGACAGCTCCTGAATTCGAGTGGTGCCAGCCACTGCCAGCAGCTGTAGCGCCTTACAATGCATCTGAAGATTTGCCAGCCTTTCGAATCCGCCTCGGAGTCGGCAGTGGGGCCTGCTCGACGCTCATTGCAGTGCTGAATGCAGTCATGTACGCCATGGCAGAGCGGCGGAACTTCTTCTTGGATGAGAGCGTTACCCGCCTCAAAGGAGACCGTGAACTTTGGTATGGTCACTACTTTCAATCAATTGGCACGGCTTTTACGGCACCCTACGTTGACATTGCATATAGCAAGAATGTGACGAACTTCGTCCGGAACGCAACACTGACAATCAATGCTAAGACCTTGCGGAGACTTGACATGAAGCGTTCGATACTGCGGCAGGCCTGGCAATTTCAGCCGTGGTTGCAAGCTAAAGTTTGTCAATTGGTCCATGGGCTGCAGCTGTTTCATCCGTATATTGCAATGTTCATCCGCCTCGGTGACAAACTGACTCTGGAGCATCGAAGCCCAGTGCCTTTGCATGATTATGTGGACACACTACATGGGGTCTCTTTGAACGGAGTGGCCCGCACGGTTTTTGTAGCTATGGACGACTGTCGTGTCTTGCAAACTTTGGTCGAGCTGGCGCCGGCATTCAAGTTTGTAAGTTTGTGCCATGTCGAGTTCAGCGAGGGATTTCATCTTTACAACGTCAGTGGAAGTAGTAACATGGACGCCCACTTTCTGAAATTCTTTGGTGAGCTGACGATCATGGCAGAGGCCGACACCCTCATTGGAGACCGGCAATCCAATGTTTATTTTTGGGCTGCATACATGCGCCGGGCGTCGACCAGCAATGCAAGTCTCATTGATGTTCGACAGTATCCTTATGTAACTGCGGACGTTGCTTGAATGCAGTGGCGCCTTTGCTGAAAATGCCGAGCTGGCTGCAATGCTTTGACGGGCCTTGGCGTTGCTTCAGACTTGGAGCTCAGAAGTCTGGAGAATCTTACTTAATGCCAGGCGCGCGCGCAAAAAATCTGGGGGGTCCGACAGACTCGGGTGCGCTGGGTTAAAGGTTTCCTTATCTGCCTGCATTCACGGCTGAGCCAGCACGAATTGCTTGTCGCTTTTGCACACGACGACTGTGAAGTAGTTTCGACATGCATGAACAGGCCTCCAATTTACCCAGTAAGCAAGAGTTGTGAGGGACTTACAGGTCATGTTGGCAGGCACAAAGACGCATACGAATCGCCCAGGAAGGCAGAGGTTTGAGGCCGTTGACAGTTCATGTCGGCATACACTGCATGCATTACGGCACTGAAGGGAAGCAGAGTTTTGAGACCATTGACAGGCCATGTAGGCATACCAAAGCCATCCCAAAACCATCCCGATACCATCCCAATACGTACCAAGACCCTACCAAAACCATGCCAGCAATTCCATCCCAAAACTACACCAAAACCATCTCAATACCATCCACAAACCATCCCAAGACCATCGCCAAACCATGCTAAACCATTCTGCATGTGACATCATGAGACGTTGCATATCAGCATTTGTTGACACCCGTTGTTTCATGCTGCTCCAGGGTTCTAAGGCATCACTATGAGGGCGTTGTGTTTGCTCAGAGCTTGGTGTTTCATTGCCTTGGTAGGCAATTTCGACACGTGTCCTAAGTTGTCCTAAGTGGTTGTTGAAGACGGGTGATTCAAGGTTTGGGCGTGTGGTTTTGATGATGGACTTTTCCATGCGGGAAAGCACTTCGGGACAGGATATGGTGTAGTGGGGAAAGCTGCAGTTGCACGGGATTGGGGTAAGTAGTGGGTCTGTGTCGTGTTAAACCACCAGCGCTCTTACTTAGCTTACTGCCAGCAGTTCGGTGAAGCATTGTGCGAGATGGCACGAGGAATCAGTCTTTAGTCCAAAAAGGGGGAGATAGATATCATCCAATGTGGTCATGTGTACCCTCAATCGAACATTATTTGTTTTTCTGGTTTGGAAGACATTATCGCCTCAGCGTGCAAGCTGAGCTGCAGAATGTTACGCGTGCCAGGTGTTCCACTCCAAAAGTTGCTCCGCCCGCAACCTTGAGACAGATCTTTGTGTAGGTGTTAACTTTGCGAAGTGTTGGCAAATACTGCTGCAAGAAAGCTTTCATGCCAGCCTGATTGCCGGCGTTCGGGTTCAGGCCAAACATGTCTCCATGTGGGTCAGCATAGGTATTCAACAACCACCATGTTCTGCAACAGCATTCTGACATGGACACGACATGAGGCCAATCTGAAGAATGCCAGCAAGTACAGTTAGGAGGAGCATATGCTTTGCGTGCCAAGATGGATTTCTGCAGACCGACGAAAACAAACATGCTCTTACTGGGTGTGCTCTTCATTGGGTTAGTGCAAGTCCTTTTTTCATTGCGGGGCACGTTGCAGGCCGCTCAAGGATTTGCGTCACCAAATCACGACGTTGGCGGATCAGTGGATGTCTCTCCAGTCTCACCGGGACGGTGGTGTGCGGAGACGTGGTACCACAGCAGCCAGATGGAGAAGGTTTTTCGACAAGATGCAGATCGGCTGACAGAGAATGAAACTATTTTGTGCGATACTCTTAGACAGTTCCAGTACATGGATATGTGGGAGGCTCCAATCCGTGAGCGGACATTCCGCAGGCCGGAAACGCTGGTTTTTTCCACGATGTGCAGGCAAGGTTTTCAACCGCAGGTGTTGGAACCGCTGGCCGGCATACTGCGAGATCCACGCTTTCCGTGCGACACAGCCAAGGTTGGAAATAAGGATGCTTATGCAGGGTCAAAGGAATGGCTCCTTCTAGCAGACAGCGCAGATTTTCCCCCCTACGAAGACACCAGGCGCATCTTCTTCGACGCAGGCGGCACGACTTTCAGATCAGCGCTGCTTTGGTTTTTGCGGCAGTACGAGACGAGGGGACTGCCTTTGGATGAAATATTTGTTTGGGAGGCAAAGACTATCTCAGATGAGGACTACTGGGCAGGCGTTCCAAATTCCACACGAGACCTCTATAGATCGAAGCTGACCCGGTTCAACGGCATCCCGATCGTAACGGATCTTGGAGGGTATCATAACCCTGTGACCCATATACGCAAAAGATGCCGTCGTCAAGATTTTTGCGTGTTCAAGCTAGATGTGGACACACCGTCTGTGGAGATGCCCATCGTGTACCAGCTCATAGAAGACCCTGGCCATTTGAGCGAGTTTTACTTCGAACACCATGTGCGGTCTCCGATCATGAGCAGGTTTTGGGGTTTGACGAGAATCAATGGCACAGTGCAGTACAGCTATGATTTGTTGTCACAAATGCGCCAGAAGGGAATACGTGCACACTCCTGGATCTAAATATCCTTGATCCTGGTCATCTCCTTGCAATCACAGTGAGCGCTTAGAGCTCGACACTGAGGCAACAAAGCAAGGAGCATGGCGAAAAGCGTCAGATTGTTTGGGGCTGTGGGATGTCATGCAGTTTGAGATGTCACCACATTTTCAGAGCAATCCAATGCCTCTGAGCAGGTGGCAGCAAACTTTACCCTCACCCGAATGCAGGTGCTAATGTCCCAGCATTGATTTACGCAGCGCTGCAGATTGGATATGATGACAGGGTTATGAACGGGGTGGGGAGAGGGCCTAATCTGAGATGAGGGATGAACATCAGGGCGGAAGGCACCAATCCTGGTGCATCAGAGTTGACATAAGTTGACGTCCTCCATGCAAAACATCCAGAACTCGGCAAAAGGGGAAGCGGTGGCATGCGAGTAAACTGACTTGGGGGATGAGAGGGGCCGCGGCGAATCACGTGTTGAGCTTGACCAGCTGTTGAACCCTCTCCATCACCTCTCCTGCAGCATCTTATGCCTTTGCCCTTTCCTTTTGCCTTTGTCTCAGCGCTGGCGCGTGCAGCCTTGGCTCTTCGATTTTTTTTTGGCCCCGCAACACCGCTGGAATTGGTATCCTGCTCCTGGTCCTGGGCGGCCTCAGCAAAAACATCTTCATCAGTGCTCTCAAAGTTAGGCTCATTTTCCAGCTTCCTGCCCTGCCTCGTCTCCTGCTTGCACTGGTTGCATTTGCTTGAGTGTCTCTTCCTCTTGCGTGGCAGCTGCAGTTTAAAACTTGCCACTTTCGCAGATTCTCAAACCGATTCAATTGATTTTCGCCAAGAACAACAGAAGTTTGGCTGGAATACTCGAATCAGACGAACTTATCATCCAGTGGTGCAATCTGTAAGTTACATCCAATTATAAGCTGAGGTTGTTTTGGGCTTGGAAAATCAGATGGCGCTCAGGACCCTATCTTGGCATAGGTGCGACTACTAGGCGGTTTTCCTATAAACCTTACCGTGCCGAAATGTCTTGCTTTGAACCTCGGAAATTTGCAATGTTCAACCTTCCTTCAACCTTCCTGCTTCGAAATCTGCACTTCAGAAGTCGACACCACACACAAGGAGGCCGTTGGTTCAGCACAACACCCACAGAAATTTCGCCACATATTCAAAGCTACCAGATCAAAAAATATCCTCAGTTGGAATGGACAGTTGTGAGCATGCTTAACAAGCTCGCGCACGGATTGGTATTGATTTTGTGGCCATGCTGGAGCATTTATGGGCGTCTTAGAGTCTTGACGAGTAAACAGCTG